CGCATAAGATATATGCTTATTTGAATTATGATCAAAGTTATCTAGCCTATTGATCACACTTTCCAAGTGTTGAACTCGACACCTTACATATTGATCAAATGTGTCAATATTATCGTCAGTCCAAATAAAATTTTGTATCGAACTTTGAACGGGAACAATGTTATTTATATCTAAAATTTCATCTTTAAAGTTAAAATTTAAGACCATATTAACAAATTCCGGACGAAATTTAATGAAAGCTTCAAAGCAAGAATTAAAAAATTTCTCTGGTTCATTTGCTGCAATTTGACAAAAGGACTTAAATAAAAAATTGGGGTTTTGGGATACTTTAAGATAAAATCGTGTAATTTCATTATTGTTAAGCCTTAAACTTCTTCCAATTTTTATGCATAACCATTGCAACTCAATATTTGCTAAATTGCTTTCTTCATTTTTTTCAAAAATGATGCCTAGTTTACTGTAAAAATGTAATATATTAATTAATATCTTTATTATAAAGAAAAAATTAATTAATTAAACATACAGTTTATTACAAATTGCATTAATGTTTCGTGCCCTTGAAATTAAATCCAACATTGTTAGTTAGTACTAGGTACAGATAAACAACATCGGATCATGTAGAGGTTCAAGTCTCCCGTCTGTCAAACCAAGAGGTCTGCTTCGGATAGGTATTTTAAGAGGATATTACGAGCCCCGTTAAAATCTCTACTAATTTTAACCTTGCAGTGTTTACAATGAAAATGTTTGCTTCCTTTTAATAAATGATTTTGCCATCCACAATTACTTCAAGTCTTTGAAGTGTAAGATTCATCACAAATAATTATATTTTTATCAAAATACTCTCGAGACTTGTGAAAGAGAAATTGCTGGAATCCAAAATGTTTTCAGGTTAGCATGCTTTATATGCTTTTTGCACCAATTTTTCTTTTTACTTTAGTTACCATTTGGGGTTTCAAACTTTGGTAATAAAATGGTTTCATAATTGTCCAACAACCATTTTGCAAGTTGGTGATGAAGCTCAGAGACTAAATTTTGGATCTTCTGAAATATTCGTAAGACCTTTTTACGTAGTTTTATCGTTTCCTTTTATTTTCATGTCCATGCTTTTTATCAGCTTTGGATTTAAATTTATCAGCTCTCTTCAGTAATTTCACTATCTTATTAAAGTCGTTGTTTCCCCATTCTGTTAATTTACCTCGAGGATCGTAACTGGTTGCAAATGTACGTACACCAGGGTCAATACTCACAATTCGACCATTAGTAAACATTTGGTTCTCGTGTTCTTCTAATAGTACAGATACATGAATAAAATATTGACCGCATTGGTTTTTGGTAAATATTACAGTCCTTTCAACTTTTCGTATTGGTTGTGAAGCGATTATATCTTTTAAAAAAACGTATTGTCCTTTTTTTCGGTTATAATCCCTGGCGAGTACATAGAAACTTTGAATGCCTTTTTTCTTTCTAAAGTTCATTTTAAATTTTTTAAGTTCACGTTGTGTATTATAAGCAAATTTGTATTGCCTTATTGCGAAAGCTCTAGTTTCCCTTGGAGTATCTCGTAACTAATGTAGGTCCGGATAACATTCAATGTAATCGTTGTTTAAACAATTATCACGAACTTGCGTATGGTTAAGTTTTCATAAAAATGTAATTCCACAGTTTTGTTATAAGTCCATCGAGTACCATTAAACCATTTGTCAAGTATTTTAGATTCGAATTCCATAGGGTAGATACAAATTTTTAGAGCTTTCAATTCACTTTCTTTTTCAGTGGTTAATTCATAATCTTTATCGTTTGGCTCAAATACATAATATTTTTTATATGAACCTTTATCGAACTTGTAAAGAGTTGATATAAACCAAGTATTTTCAATTAAATTTTCGGTATCTTTAATGTTTTCGTTTGTGGGTAACCAAAGCATTTCAGAAAGTTGTCGAGTCTTTTCATCCCATTTCCATAGATTATTTTTCCATTTTTGAGATTCCTTTTCATTTTCTCGTTTTCGTTTTGACATTTTAAAGACCTTAACTTCTACATATCCGTATTTATTAACGTTTAAGAAAGTGGTGTAACATAATCCAAAGCAGATCATGAAATGCCAGGTCTTAAACTAGTGATGTGAACTGTAAACACAGTTAACTGTAGCTTTTAAATAAACTACTGTTAACCGTAGCTTTTAAATAAACTACTGTTAACCGTAGCTTTTAAATAAACTATAGTTTGTAGTTCACATCTCTACCTTAAACAATTAAATGAAATTTTATACTTACTAAA